CCCCAAAACCCCAAAACCCCAAAACCCCAAAACCCCTTCTTCAATTTATCAAAATATATCTCTAAAAATGGGTTTATTTGGTAAGAAGAAAAAGAAGGAAGATTCTAAAGAAGAACAAAAATTTACTGGGGAAGTAGGTTGTCTCAGTGAGTCCCAGGAAACTTGTTTAAGCCAGTTGAAACAGCATATTGTAGAGAATCAGTTGACGACATCTGATCGTTTTGATGATTATTACCTCCTCAGATTTTGTAGAGCTAGGTTTTTTAAGATCAAAGATGTAATCAAGATGTTCAAGGAGTTTATTAAGTGGAGAGAAGAGAATGAAGTCGACTATGCCTTCATAAGATTTGACCTCAGTAATATCCCCAAAGTCAAAGAAATTCATCAATCTGGATATCACGGTACCGACAGAGAAGGAAGGCCTTTTAGTATAGATCGACCATGTACTGCTCATCCTATTGAAGAGCTCCTCAAGATAGCTGATACAGCAGAGATCGCTAGGAGCTATATGCGGGACTATGAATATCTTCTTCATGTAAGAATGCCAGCTTGTTCAGCAGCTGCTGGGAAAAGAATTGACACAATCTTATCGGTTATTGACTTAAAAGGACTCACAATGGGGATGTTTAAAGAAAAGAGTAGGGAGTTTCTTAAAACTCCGATAGGTATAACCCAGAACTACTATCCTGAAATAATGCATGAACTACTAATCATTAACGCTCCAGTAGTCTTTAAAGCTATTTGGGCGATCCTCAAAACGTTTTTGGCAAAGGATACAGTTTCAAAGATCAAAACATTTGGAAAGAAATATCAAGAAAAATTATTTGAAAGAGTTGATCCAGATAACATACCTGCAATTATTGGAGGCAGCTGTACTTGTGAAGAAAGAGGTGGAGATTGCTTCAGATCTGATTTCGGTCCTTGGGAAGTATTTAAAGGTGACAGATTTGGAGAGATGTACAAAAGACAGATGGAAGGAGATTTAATGACAGTACCTATTCCAGATCCAACTCCAGCTATCCCTCTTTCTGCTCCTGTTTCTACTGATATACCTGTATCAGTGCCAGTAACAGCTCCTGTTCCTGTTGTAAGTAATGTTTAAGTACTTCCTTCATATTCCCTTATAGCCCGTCAGTCTTGCTCCAGAATCTCTATAAAATGAAGTAGAAAGATAAAAAATTCAATGACAAGCCGAAATGTGGGGTTTTGGGGTTTTGGGGTTTTGGGG